AGGAAGGAAGGAAGGAAGGAAGGAAGGAAGGAAGGAAGGAAGGAAGGAAGGAGGGAAGGAAGGAGGCAGGCAAGCTAGTTAGTTCACAGCAGTATCTTTCATAATTGCCCAAAACTATAAAAAAAACACTGTTCATCTAAAGTAGATAAACTGTGGTTTACTCTAACAATGGAACACTAATCTGCAAATTACAAGCAACAAGGATAAATCTTTAAAACACAATATTCAAGGTGCATTCTAATAATATAAAATAAATCAGACTCACAAGCTTAAATATCATCTTATATGAGAAACCCAAAGTACAAATAAAAAAAAGACCCTTTGAGACAGGGTCTTGCTACGTAGCCCAGGCTGGCCTCAAACTCTCCGCAATCCTTCTGCCTCTGCCTTCCAAGTGCTGAGATTACAGGTGTACACCACCATGGCCAGCCCAAAGTACAAATAATTTTAAGAGCAAAATAACAGACAACAGGAAACAAGGAGATAGATCTTTTGCAAATGGGAAGGGGATCAAGAGACGGAGGGAAAGGTGCAGGGGCAGGGAAGAGGACATAAAAAGAATTAAGATGTGTCATGTACAAGTACCAACTCCTCACAATGTATTCCTTATGTACTGCAAACGTGTAAAACAAACACACACACAATGTTGAGTGAAGATACAAAAAGAATACTTAGTAAAGTTCAATTATTTAAAGTGCAAAAACAAATCAAACTATACAGTGCATGTTCATATTATACAAAGATGGTGAAACTATAAGGAAAAGAAAGCAAGTGGCTATCTTAGAAGTCAGGACAGTGGCTCTCTCTGGGGACAGAAAGGCATGTGACCCTTGAAGGGATGAATAACAACATTTGCTCTGACTACCTATGCAACACGGTGGATTTAAAAATAGGCCAGCTGAAAACAAACTACACTAAGCAACTGAAAAAGAAGACAGAAAAGAGCTCAACCAATCTCTACACCCGATTGTACTCTGCGCTACAAGTAATGATTTTTTTTCTTCAGAAAGCAAATAAAATGAGATACATTTTGAAGGCTGACATTAAATAATACCTAAGTTTAGACCTGAAATAAATATTTAACGTAATAAGCTTAGTTGTTTCCCAATAGTTTACACCGAAGGACTTAGGATTAAAATATATAAACAAGAAATAGTTTTACCCTGGATGTAGAAGTAAATGTGACACTAGGCTTATTTATTTATAAATAATCTATCTATTCGTTCCATTTACAAACCGATTGTTATTCTCTATTTCCTTACAAAAAATGTACTTGAAAATGTAGACAACTAATAGAATTTTAAATAGCAAACATCCCGTAACATAAGGGCCTACAATGGAAAAGGAAAAACGCTGAGACACTCATCTATGCAATGTTTCCCTGAAACCAGAATCCTTGATTTTATTTGAAAATTAAAAAGGACACATGTATTTAGGTATAAGTCCACGATCTCCTGTATTTGACGCTTCAATAGTTTTTCAAACAGAAGCCAGCTTACCCTGCCTTTCCTGTGTACAATTTCTACTAAAATTACATGACATTTTATGCAAATGCCTATATCATCTCGTCCCTTCCCCTTACAAAGTCTACAAAGACGACTCAGAAGGGAGAAACTGAGAGTCAGGAGGAGACAAGGTGAGCTCCTAAATCTCTAACTTCCAAGTTTCTCTGCTCCACTCCAGAGCGTTTCTAGGCAGAACCGTCCCCCAACAACCAAGCTAAAAGCTGAGGGAGGAAGCGAAGCGGTCACCATAGGAACTGGGTTCAACCCAGAACTCCTGAGACTAGACAACAAGGTCTAGGCTGGGTCCTAGAGGGCTTCCCGGGCCGCCACCTCCCCTCAGCGGTCCCGGCCGCGGAGACCCACCCCAGGCCGCCCGCAGTCCCCGCGCATCTCCGAAGCATCTACCTGGAGCTCCGGGGCCCTCCACGGGCTTTCGGGCCCGAAGTCCTCCGCGGTGCTCATCCCTGCGACTGCCAGGCCCGAGCCTCCGCGGTCAGTCCAGGTCCTGCCCGGTCTCCATCCTCCGCCCTGCTCGCCCCCAAATCGGCCTGGCCCCGCCCCGGCGGAGGTGGAGGAAGGCGGGACCCCGCAGGAGGGAGGCGGGGGCGGTTGGCGCCGGCCTGCGCGCCGTCTGGCCCGCCCTCACGCTCCCTCAGTACCTGAGGGGGGCTCTTCTACCACCTCCCAGGCGCCTTCGCTCCGCTTTCGTCCGGCGCGCCCCCGGGCCCCGTGCGCACGCGTAGCTGGCCCGACCCGCCCTCGCTCAGGGATTACAAGCCGTGCGCGCGCACCCACGCATGTATCGACGCGTACGTCCACCTGTCCGCCTCACAGAGTGCCTAGGAGAGACCTTTTCGCGGCCCATCCGCGCCACGCAGGCGCACGCCCACGCAGCGCTAGACGCCCGACCGGAGCGTCCCGTCTCTTAGTAACCAGTGTCCACCCCTTTCTCACGACTTCCTTCCTCCGTGCCGACACACCTAGATGGAACGCGCGTGCGCACGTCTACCTCCTCCCTCCCCCCCCCCACGCCCCGCCGCCGCCCTCCTGATGCTTCCAGTGATGGCTCTGGGCTTTTTCCTAGGGATTCGACGTCATTCTGGATCCACATTTATTAGAACGGGTGCTTTTGGGCACGGCTCTTTCTACACCCAAGAGCTCGTTTTGGGCGGGGCCTCCCCGGTCGGGTCCTCCAGCTCCAGACTCCAGGGAGTGAGCTGCCAGTCCGGGTGAGCGCTTGCAGCCTCGGATCTGGGGAGCCCGAGGACCTTTGACCTCGGTCACCCTTGCAAGATCCAGTCAGGCTGGAGAAGGGAGGCGGCAATAAAAATCCCAGATTCTAGGCCGGTAGTTTTCAAGTGCCAGTCCTCTTTGCAGAAAAACTGGCGATGGTTAACCAAAAAAAGAGGCATACTGCCTCACGCGATGTTTCATAATGTATCGATTTTTTTTCCTATTTAATACCGTTTAAACTTGTCTTCGCTCACTTAGGAGCCTTCAGTCCGGGAACGCTCATTTAATTTAACCAGTGCAGGAAAAAAAAAAAGCAACTAGGTTATTCTAAAGTGGAGAAGTGAGCTTCTAAGTGAAAAAGAATAAGAACTGCGCTATTCTGCCAGTATTTTGGAGCCTAGCTTGAAAAGAAGTATCTTCTTAATTTTTCTAAATATTTAATATGCCCACCCTTCTTAACCCAAGGGCTTCTGAACTACAATGGTGACCCTATCTCCCTGTCTTTTCCTACAGATGACATTAGGTAGGTTTGTACAGCGGCCTTCTGATGATCTTGATGTGGTGTAAACCTTTGCATTTCAAAAGTAAGCTCACGTTTGAGGAGACTTAACAATTCCTGTTTTTTCTGGTGAGTACTCACTTTTTCCACAAAATGGGATAGATAACTTTTATTTTCAATACCATATAATTTCTAAATCTAACTAGATACTAGAAAATGAAATTGTCTCATATTAAAGCGGTGAAAAATCCAGGGAACAGCACATTTCCTTTGATACAATTACACCTCATTGATAAAATATGTAACAAAAAAGCATGCGCTTTCAAAAGACCATCCTGAAAAGTTAGGATAATCTGTTATTCTTGTCAGACACTAAGATTATTTTGAAGAGTCTCTTCTAGCATGACTGAAAACAAATAAAAAGAATGTACTAACTTTAAAGCCATCAATTGGGCTGCAATGTGACCCAGTTGTAGAGCAAGGTGCTAAGCTGCAGGATGCCCAGGTTTCACTGCCCAGCACCAAAACCCAAACAAACAAAACTCTCTCAGTTGAAGACTTAAGGGAGGAGGGGGATTACTAATACAGGAAATGGGAAAGAATAAGAAAAGTTTTAAGCATTTACCTATGCCACCTAGATATTACTGAAGATTCTTTGGAAAGAATGTAGAGAAAAGAGTTTTTTAAGGCCAAAGGAGTGCATAAGAATTTTCCTTTTCCTATCAAGGACAGATGGTTTACTCCCCTAACCCAAAAAAGTGAAAATGTCCTTCCCTCTCTGTAAACCCAAGGGGTGGTGAGTGTCCCACCCTGCCCCAATTAAGCCTTGTATAGTAACTTGCCTCTTTTGTGACATGTACCTTATGTGTAGTTCTAAGGTCTAGGTTTTCTAGTCCTTTAGTTTCTCCATTATTTCAAAGGCTTCAGTAGCAAAATCTGTTTTGCCTTTTTTTTTCCTGTGCCCCTCCCGATCCCCTCAAAATAAAAAATCAGAGACTTCAAATACACATATGTTGAGCTACATGGTATTTTCTGATAGCTCACTGAGGCTCTGTGCATTTTTTTAGATTGGATAATTCCCATTGCGGTATATATAGATATCATCATGTATCTATATCTACCTATCTATATGATTATATATATGTGTAGATATATCTGTATAAACATGTTTATATGTAGCTGTATCTATACATTATATGAATATATCTACATATTTATATTTCTCTATATGACATGTATCTGTATATAGATTTTGTGCAGTGTTGAGGATGGAACCCTGGCTTCACACATGCTAGGCAAGCACCCTACAACTAAGCTACCTCCAGAGCCTTGCAATGCTATAGCTTTCAGTTCTTTTCATTGGAAGTGTTAGTCTCACCCATATTTTTCACATCAGACATTTATTTTTCATTTATGGAAATTTGATGTTTCAAAAGAAAGCTTCCATTTCATACTATATCATGCTCATGATTTACTCTACCTTCTTCCAGACATGGAATATATATAAAATACTCCTTTTAGGTACTCATTGTGGATTTGCTACTACTTTTTTTCTATTATAAATACTTTATTTCAACTAGAAGGTACAATCTCTCAGGGTTTTCATAGTTTAAAAAGCTACAATCACATCATGTTGAACCTACATTAAAAAAAAAAACAGTGCTCTAAATGGAACTGCTTGGCTTTGACCATATACATTTCTGCACACCCCTTACAGAATCTGCACAAAGAAATATCTTCTCCCTTTGCTCCAGTTAATTGTTCTTGTATGTAAGTTGCTATCTATTCTAGTGTATCTAGAGTGGTGAAATAACAAGGCCAGCCACGTACCCAAAGGTTGTTCCAAGTGTACAGGAGATGGGCCATACCTGCCATGGCTTTTCCCAATCTAATGGAATAGGAAATGCTCCAAGCCACGCTCCTACAAAACTAGAAATTGTAGTGATCTGGAGACTGTTCTCCCAAATGGATGTAACTCCATTTTTACTGAAAACTCTTAGCCATGCTTTAAGGTTTGGTCCTAACAAACATAAACAAGGTACAGTAGTAAAAGTAGACAAAATAACTGCAAATAAAAATGTTTCCAATGCCAACTCAATTAGTGGTGCTCCATATAAAACAAAAATCACATGAAAGGAAAAACAAGACACAAGAAAGTAGACAGCATTTCAAAAACCTGGTTACCTTATGTGATAATGAACTTCTTTTAGAGGATGCATTTGGCTTTGGTACTAAATTTAATACAAAATTGATTGAAGCTACAAAAAGAGAACAGAAGCACAACCACGTCAAGTGTGTGTCCAATATTGAGAAATCCTCCACGAAGAATGATGGAATAAGGACACTTAGAATAACTGAAAATATGCATAGAAAATGAGCATATAGTAGTGTCTTGATACCAGTATCTTTCATGATGTTTTTGTGGCTGTTTAACTCTCCCACCCGTGGAAGGGAAGGAGGGGCTACTGCCTCCCACCATTAGGTGCAACGGGATTGGATTTGCTACTACTTTTATTCCTCCTGATTATAAGTTTTCTGTGTTTTCATGCCTGCTAAGTTTTGATTGACTGCCAAACATTGCAGATTTCACACACTTGGATACAGGAGAGAAAGAGAGAGGGAGAGAGAATTAGAGTTTAAATATGTTTGGCTTTCTTCTGAGATACGGTTAAGGTACTTGGGAGCAGTTTGACCCCTTAGATCTGTACTATCCAAAACAGTAGCCATTAGCTAGATGTGATTATTTAAATTTATGTTCATAAAATTAAATTTTAGTTCCTCATTTGTACCACCCACATTTCACATTCCAAAAGCTACATATAGTTAATGACTACCATACAGGATGATATAGGTATAGAATACTATACCTATTTCCATCACTACAATAAATTCTACCATATTAGACAATGCTATTTAGTGGCCAAGTTTTGCTGCTGTTGTTTTGGTACTAGGAATTGAACCCAGGGCCTTTGCACTGAGCTACATACATTCCCTAGCCCATTGATTGATTGTTTGATTGATTGGTTGATTGATTGAGACAGAGTCTAAGTTGCTAGACTGCCCAGATTGGGCTCAAATTTGTAATTGTCTTGCCTCAGTCTCTTGAGTTCTGGAATTACAGGATTCACCATCACACCTAGCTAGACATTAATTTAAAATTTGCTAGGTCCAGTGTAATCTTTAGTGTAGGGCAATCTTGGCTTTATTACTGAGCCAATACCTTTCTATAGACTCTACCCAATGCCCCAGATATTGGGATATCTTTCCACCTGACTGGTGGGAACATAAACTATTCTTTTATTTTTTATTTATTTATTTTTTTGGTACCAGGGATTGAACTCGGGACCTTGCGCTTGTGAGGGAGGCGGCGGAACCACTGAGCTAAATCCCCGGCCCTAAACTATTCTTGACCTGTGTGAGCTCCAGCAATTATTCTGCCTTCTTCTTTTCAGTGGTTCCCTCTCAGGCCTTAGAAGTTTCCTTCTTAACATGCCCTTGTCAGCACTCAGCTGAAGAGTTGAGGGGAATCCTCTGAAGATCTCTGGAGTGCTTTCTCACTCTGTGCTTCTCTCCTCTCTCCACAGATTCTACCCACTTGGCCTCCCCAAACTATCTTCTCCATTCATTAAAATGACCAGATTCCCCTTTGGGCCCCCTTCTTGTGTGGAAGCTTGAAAATTTCCAGGCAATGAGCCCTTCTATGAGGCTCCCTTATTTTATTCCCTTTCTCTCAGGGGTCCCTCTCGTACACCGCCTGTTGTCCCAAATCTAAAAATCATTGCTTCATGTGTTGTCGATTTTTATAAATGGTAAAAAGCATGATGATCAGTCTGGCTCCTGTCACTCCACTATTGCAGGAAGCAGAAATCTGCCAGATCTTCATAGTTTGAGGCTCCATGTCACTACTTAATCCCAACGGGAGTGGTTTGCAGAGCAAAAATTGTTTCAGGCTGAGGGAACTATAAGTGCAAAGGCCCTGTAGCAGATGAGAGTTTGGCATAGCATATGCTTGAGGAACATCTGTGACCTCACAGGGCTGCTGAAGAATCAGAGAGAGAGAGAGAGATAGAAAAGGGTATTAGCTGCTGTATGAGTTTCCTGTTGCTACTATAACAATTTCCCGCAGACAACACAAATTTACTATCATACAGTTCCAGAGATTAAACATTCAAAATGGATCTCACTGTGCTCTAGCCCAATAAATATGTCAGCAAGGCTGCTGTCCTTCTTGAGCTGTGGAGAAGAATCTATTTACTTCCCTTTCTAATTTCTACAGGCTGCCCAAATTCCTTAGCTTGTGGTCCCCATTGATCTTTAAAGCCAACAGTAGTCAGCAAATTTTTCTCACGTTTCACTCTAACACTGACATTCTTTCACTTAAAAAAACCCCTGTGATTCGATTGGTATCCTTCAATTAATCCAGCATAATTTTCCCACCTCAAGGCTAGCTGAGCTTTGGTGGCCATTCTTCTGCCTAGCATTGCTGGGGACCAGATATGTAATTTGGCTTTTGCTGTGAGATGGGAAGCAACTAACGTGTCTATCAAGATGTTGTGATCTGCCTTACTTTTTAAAAGGGCACCTATCAGATACTGTTTGAAGACTATACGTGGGGAAGTATGGTGTATGTTAGGCAGCATTTCACCGCTGTGACAAAATACCTGAGTGAAACAATTTAAAAGAAGGGAAAGATTTATTTTGGCTTATGGCTTTAGAGGTTTCAGTCCATGGTAGCTTGGCCCCATTGCTTCAAGCCTGAGATGAGGCCAAATATCATGGCTGAATGCAGGGTAGATCAAAGCTGCTCCCCTCAAGATAGGCAGGAACCAGTGAGATAGAGCCAGAGAGAAAGGGACTGGGTACAAGACATAGTCACAAAGTATACCCATATGACCCATTCCCTTCAACTAGCTCCCACCTCCTAAGTTTTCATCATCTCCCAATAATGCCATAAAATTATGAATCTATCAATGGATTAATCCATTGATAAAATTAGAGCTCCTATGATCCAGTCACCTTCCAAAGTCCCACCTCTGAACATTGCTCTATTAGAGTCCAAGCCTTTAATACATGAACCTTTGCCCCCAAAACCATAACAATTATAAGGGTGGAAGTAGAAAGAGGGTTCATTAACAGACGGGACATAGTATATACAAGCAGAGTTAAGAATGACTCCACTAGCAGGGTTTCCCATCATCCTGCACTCTCTGTAATACTCAGTATTGTCTATTTTTCTAAAGTCTACCAGTCTGATGGTAGTAAACTTGGATTTCTGATACCAACTAAGTTTGAGTATCTCTTCATGCATTCAAAACCCATTTGGGATTCCACAGTCTTTGAATTATGTCTTTATATCCTTTGCCCATCTTCTCTTGGGTTTTCTTTTTCCTTGTTGATTTTTAGGATTTCTTTTATTTTTACTTCTTTTTAATTCTAGTTATTAAATCCCCTGTCATCTTTGGAGAGAAAATACCTCCTTCCAATTTTGCATCTGTCCTATCATGTGTACTTTTTCAGTGAATAGAAATTCCTAGTTATAAGTAATCTGTTTTCTCCTTAATGTTTAAGCTTTTAAGGTCTTGTTCAAGAAGACCCACAGTGATAAATACATTGTCTTACATTTTCTTCTATTGCATTTATAGTTCTAACAGTCACATTTAGGTCTTTTCTGCCTTTTGACTTCACTTTCATATATAAGATAAGGATTCTGCTTTATAAAGTCCTTTTATGATAAGGATTCTATCACAGGAACCCTGCATGATCCCATAGTAAGCCAATGCTCACAATGCTAACATGTTAAATTTAGTGTGTTTATCTCCTTTGCCTTATAGTGCCCAAACATAACCAGGTCCAAATTGAAGTTCTTTTGTGTTCTTTTTGGTCATTTATTTGTTCCTACACCTCATTGGTGACTGCTTTCTTACTTTATGCCCTATCTTAGTATCTCGTAAGGTAAACCTCTTTGTTCTTTTTTGCCAAATTGATTTGTTCCTTATGGGCTTTTATTCTTCTGTATACATTCAAGATTTCTTCTTGACTATTGACCCGAATGCATGTCAAAGCAAAAGACTTGTTTCTCTTTTATGTCCTCAAGATTCTGGGGAAGATATGGAGAGACTCACGAGGATAAATCTACCTTCTTATTTTCCTTCCTTAATGTCCTTCTGCAGCCCATTAGAGTGAAGGACTCAGTCTGCTAATAGGTAATTACATAAGTTATCATTATTTCACATTTGTTAGTTTCAACTGCGTAGGTTGTTTTGTAGGGTTTTGTTAGTGTTTTCCAATTTTGTATTTTGAAAAGTTTTAAATCTGTAGAAATGTAACAAGAATAATACTCTTAACATTTTTTAGCTTCTGTCTCCTAGATTCAATAGTTAATATTGTGTCTATTTTTCTTTCTCCCTATATTTGTCAACTTATGCATTGCTAAACAATTTGAGAGCAAGTTGCAGATATGATCCTTCAACTCTATTTCAGCGTGTATTTCCTATGAACAAAGACATTCATTCATATAACCACAATACAGTTATAACATCCATGGCATTTACTGTTGACCCAATATTATCTAACAAACCATACATATCCATATTTTTCAGTTGTCCAAATAATAGTCTATGTGATATACTTCCCCCTTTTAAATTCAACAACATTCACTGCATTTGGAAATCATGTATTTTTGGCTTCTTTTAGTCAGAAACAATTCTGAGGCCTATCTTGTTTTACAGGAGGTCTCTCAATTTGGTTGTCTCTCAATCTGATTGTTTCCTCATGATTAAATTAAAATTATACTTTTTATTCTTGGTGCTGAGGATTGAACCCAGTGCCTTAACTATGCCAGGAAAGTGCCCTATCACTCAACTACACCATCAGTCTTGTTATGCATTTTTGATGGGAGTGTTTCCTTCATAATTAAAGATGAAAAACCAAATAATAGAATAAACTCAATTTTATTAACTTGATAATAGTATTAGATATCTTTGATGAGGAAGAAATATTTATCTCTAAGTTCCAAATATAACAGGTATACATGTTTTACAGTCTCACCAGAGATCTTTTAAAAATGTAGTTAAGATGTATTTGAGTCACAGAAAGCCAAATCTGTACTATTTATCTAAGAGTTATAGTAACACCATTTGAGTTCCCACTATATGAAGGATACTGCAGTAGGCCAAGGACTCTGTTCTGTTACAGGTTAAACACTGATACTCAGTCAGAACATAAACAGAGTTTCAAGGGGTTTTCTTAGAAATTTGCATTGCATCTTCAAAAAACTAGAAATTCCATTTGACCCAACTCTTCCTCTCCTAGGTTTCTTTCTGAAAGAGTTAAAAAGATTATATTATAGTGATACGTACATGTTTATAGCAGCACAATTCACAGAAGCTAAGTCTTGGAAGTGGCCTCTATGTCCATCAACAGATAAATGGAAAAAGAAAATGTAGTATTTACACACCATGCAGTACTACTGTGCTATAAAGAAAGAAACTTGAGTCACTTGTAGGAAAATGGAAGCACATTGATACCATAATCTTAACCAAAGTATAAAAAAGAGCAAAATAGAAATAGGGAGGTAATAGGATATAAGCAGATAGATCTTTCTCAAAGGGGAAGGGGATCCTGAGATGGAGAGAGGAGAGGTGGAGGGGAGGGAAAGGGGATGAAAAATAGGAATTGAGATGTGTTATGTACATGTACCAACTCTCCACAAGGAATGTAAACATGTACTATAAACATACTAAAATTTTTAAATATTTTTCAAAAAGAAATTTGCAGTATAAGGATTAGAGCTTGATAGGTATGGAATTGTAACTTATCAAAAGAAAACACAGTAGCTAAATATCAAAGAATTACATATTCTAGAACCTGGGCTGGTGCTTTCATTCCTGGCTGTGGAGTTGACTTCAGATCTCAAGTGGCTGCTTGCACATCATTGGTAGATCTTGGTCCTCCCGTAATCAACAGGTTTTCTTAAGTCTTTGTTTTACCAGGAAGGCTATCTTTTCTGTCATAGCCCCTGACCTTCTTTGGAAACCTCTCCAAGATCTCACTCCAGGTTAGGATCCTTAATGACAAGGTCCATATCTTTATTTATCTTTTCTTTTTTACAGAACACCTACATAGCAGAATGCTTGGCCTTCGGTAATTATTTAAACCATTAATAATGAATTAAAAATTATTGTTAGTAAGAATGACAGAAAAGACTAAGAGAAGTTCTGCTGTTTGCTGGACAGTGATAAATAGTAAATTAGGCAAATTACTTTTTAAAAAGACTTTCAAAGGAATTGGTATACTCTAAAACCCTTCCCACAAAGAAAATGTAAGCAGTGAATGATAAAGGGTAATTTTACTTTATATTTTTAGCATCACCATGACATTTCAAATAAATATTGCCATGCAGTTGTTGAAATTCCTATTGTATTCATTTGTGACCTCTATTTTCATTTTTCAGTAATCAAATTGAAGAAACGTTTCTACTACCTTAAAAGGTATCTTCAAACTACCCAATGGGATTTTCACATAGTAAATCTGCTACTCAGGTATCTGCCATGAGAATGAATTCAAAAGTGGATGATCACTTAATGCAAGGGACTGAGAAAAGCAGTTTGGAACCAGTCACTCAGTTATTTCAAAATACCAAGAAAATAAGATTAGAAGACACAAACCAAGAGAACTTTACAAAAATTGAAGAGACTGGCACAGGCTCTCTTTCAGAAAAAGCTCTGGGTTCAGTGGTATATGTTAAAGAAAGTGATGGAATAGAAATGACAGATATGGAATGAAGAAACCAAAAATTGCTTTCAATTAAGAGGTGTTTATTGAGACCTGAACTGCATTAGGAACACCTAACAAAAATGAAGTAAGATATGTTTTATTTTTCACTATTTATGAATCATCTTAAACTGTATCTTTTGATGGTGCATATTGAAAAGGCAGTCAGGTTAGGGAGAAAAAGCCTTTCAAAATTCAAAGCAGATTTCTCTAGGATTATATTCAAACCTTGATAAAAACGACAGTATTTGAATGACACCAAAACGTTTTATTGTAATTGTAAAGAATTTCTTTAATGAGTGGTTTAAAAATGAAGTGTCCCAGCAATTTGTCATCAGTATTTCATGCTATTTCTGGTGTACCACTTCTGTATGTTGCATTTCCAGTTTTGGATTTTGCTTTACGATAGTTTACCTTCCTATATTTTTCATTTCTGTTCCGTGAAAGATCACTACAGATAAACTTGGCAAAAGACCAATAAGCTGCATATCTTCAGAAGTGTTTCACATTTTAAATCTTTTTTTTAAAACGTTTCTCCCCATATTTAATCTATTTCAGAGTTAGAAAATACTTCTTAGTTTAATGGTTTATCTTGCATAAGCTACCATTTTATACCATCAATACTTAGTAAAAGTAATCCAGTGTTGTTGTTGATTTTTTAAGCAGAGGCAAAGTTTATTTGAAAAACTAAAAATGAAGAGTGAGAGAGAAATGCTCTGTGAAGCAAGCTCGGCCCGATTAAACGAGGAAAAAGCAAGACAAAAGAACACCCTGGAGAAAGCAGGGTGGGCTATCACCTAGCCATGTTTTGGTTTGTATTTTTAAACACAGCTGTTTTATATCAGCTATTAAACTATCTAGCTCTGTGAAACAGCAGTATCAACTAATGTAATGTTAGATGAAATTAACACCTTTTTTAGGAAGTGACCTGTAACTATTTATATTGTATATGGTTGTTTGTTTCTTTTTTGGTGCTAGAGATTGAACCAGGGCCTCACCCATGATAAACACATGCTATACCACTGAGCTATACCCATATTACATATGTTTTGAACATATTCCTCAACTTGAATACTTAATCACTCCTAATACCCAATTGCATAATCACCTTAATATGCATTACAAAAGAGGAAAAGGCATCTTTAAGGGGAAACAATGTTCTATAAATCAGACAAAAACTAAACAAATATATTTATAGGAATATTGATCTTGGAATTTAAAAAAATGAAATTGTTAAATGAGACCATGCTTTTTGCCATTTGCAGACCATATTTCTTTGGAAAAGAAAAAAAAACATAAATCATTCATTGTTCACCTAGCCTGGCACTGTGCTGGTACTGGAGATATAGCAGTGAGTAAAAGCCACTGCCTTAACAGGGTGTTCTGTCTACAAAGGAAGACAGGGTGCTATACAATGATGATATAGGATCTAAACTGTAATGCGCTATGAAGAAAAAGTAAAGCCTTCAAAGAAACAAGACAGGAGGCATAACATATAAAGTTGATTTTAATCGTGGGAATGAGAAAGGTTTCTCTGAGGAGGTGACATTTGTAACTTTGCATCACATGGTTGTCCAAGTGGATGATGATGATGATGGCCATCCGGGGGAGAGATGGGGGGTTTTTGATTTTTAAAAAAGGCCAGGTTCATGGTGGTTTCCTGGGCCAATGAGTGAGCTCAGAAAGATAGTTTTTAAACATACCAGATTTTTAAGGTAATTGTATGTATAGAACTAAAAATAGAATTTTTAAATGGATAAAAAATGGTATTTAAATCCATAAGAATAAATGAAATTGCTTAAGAGGACTATATATTGATAGCTAAAGATCTGATGAACTCCAACATTTAGGGGCTGATCAGAGTAGGGACAGCTGTCAAAGGCAGCTGAGTATGGAGGAAAGTCAAGATGTGAACATGAAGCTTGCCCATAGGAGTCTTTGCAGGCAGAGACAGTCAGCTGAACAGTTAGATGACTGAAAAGTCCATTGGATCTAGCAACGTGAATGCCACCAGTGATACTAGCACTTTTGCTGGAATAATGAAGCAAAAGCCATCTTGGAGAAGGTTGATTGTGAAGAAGGAAATAGATACTGGATGTGTGGCAGTTTACAAGAAGCTTTGCTTTCAAGAGGAGTATACAGGATGAAAGCTGGAAGGAGCAATTCACTGGAGGGCTGTGAAGCAGGTGTCATTGGAAAGGTTCCAGTGGAAAAACTGAAGAAGTAGGAGAGGGGCAACAATAACCAAGGGACAAAAAGAGCAAGGAATAGAGTCAGATTCTCTAAAACCACCTCAGATGGAAATTACAAAGAAAAAAAGTAAATGGCACCACCTCAGATTTCACAGAAATGAAATTTAGCAGGATATAAATTAAAAAATAATATTGTGGGGCCATTTTAATAACTAGGAAAAATTCTTATTGTGACTAACTTAACAAAATCCATTCCATCCAAATAAAAAGACTCAGAGTGACCTTGGTCACAAGTATAATAAATAAATAAATGAGTCACTGTGTCTGTATCGTAGCTTATACAAAGCCCTGGTTATCTACGGTATCAGCATCAAACTATAAACGCTGGAGCTTCTTACTCCAAGAGGTAAGTCCTGGTGGTCTCCATTCTAACTGACGGAGAGATTGGGTTCTGCGGGAGATTGAAAGAGATGGCCACAGATTCTTTGGGCCCATCTTTTCAAGAAGTGGGGTCTGTTATCCCACCCCTTAACTCTTCTTTTCATGTTGCTTTGGCTAGTAGCAGGTGGCTAAAGTGCTACTTTAGGTTAGGTGACCTGAGCTGGCCCAGCAGCCAGCCAGCACCAACTGCTAGAGTGGGACACAAGGGCCATCTTGGACCGCGCAGCTCATCAACTCTTGCTAATGAAGCCACAGGAATTAGCCCAAGTGAAAGCAGCAGTAGAACCACGCAGCTTGCACACATCATTCTTCAAAGATAGTATATGGTTGCTTTGGGCCAGGGATTTAGCTCAGTGATGTCACCGCCTGCCTCGCAAGCGCAAGGTCCCGAGTTCGATCCCCGGTACCAAAATACATAAAAATTTAAAAATAAATGGTTGCTGTAAGTCTCCATCCTTTGAGGTGGCTTGTTACACTGCAATCACTAGCTGAAGCTGTCCCTTGCTACCTCAGCTGCTGGGGTGACTTCCCATCTATCTGGCTGAGCCGCAGGGATGTTCCCGCAGCTGCTGTGAGGGACACCCAAGTGTCGTCACTACCCTCAGCGTGTCGGTTTTCTGATGCACTGATTCCAGCTTAGGAACTCTGCACCCACTCTTATTACCGCCCCTTAACTCTGGCTTCAGTATTCATTACTCCTTTACATGCAATCTGTCTTTCAAGACTGATCTGAATTTCCTCACTTTTCGAGGCGGAAAGGCAGGACTGTGAGGAGGAGCTACGTGAAGACCCAGGGCAGCGACTGCACGTTCAGTGAAAAGGCCCTCCTGGCCTCGCTGCTCGGGGTTTCCGGGGGCTCCCCCGAAACTCGCTCCACGATTAGCGCTCTGGCTCACCGGCCTCTCCTACCTTCGCCGCTGGGCGGCCGTTATTTGCTGTCAAGCGAAGAACGCCATCTGAATTGGGACTTTATTCTCTTATTCGACATAGGCCTGCGTTCCTGCCTCGAATGTGGTTTTGTGTCCTGAAGGACTCTGACAAACCCGAGACTTGCCACCTCGCTAGCGACTGGGAGGCCAGGGGCGCTCCCGGTGCGGCCACGCCTCCTCTAGACCCCGGGGGGCGAACGCTAGGGGCGGGGGCCGCGAGAGGGCGGGGCCATCGTCTCCCCTCCCCCGTGGGCGGGGCATAAAGGGCTTGGATAGCTTCAGTGAGCTGCTGGCGGATGCCTAGCGTCCAAGCGACCTTCGACCTTCCCCAGCGGCTCTGCACGACCGGAAGTAGCTAGTGGGTGAAACCGGAAACGGATTTCCCGGGGACGCTGCGGGGTGAGGTGCGTGGCAGAGATCGTGGTGCGCGATTGGGCGGCGGGTAGGGACTGAGGACCTTTTGGCCGGGTACCACCTGCGGGGGCCATCTCGGGCCTCCCAGGATGAAGGATGAAGGCATTGCACTTTACCCTGGGCACCTGAGACGCGATATTGTCGCTGTTAGGAAAGGCTGGTCCTGAACCCCGGACCGAGGGTGAACAAAGTAAAACACGTTGTATGCTAGCTGTGTGTACCCCTACAGATAAAAGTGGGAGGCAGAACACGCACAGTGTTGTGATGAGATTGCGAATATTGTAAGCGAGGTGGCAAAATAGTCTTGATAAAGTATATGAAGAAACAGGAGCCAGGCACATCTGTAAACCCAATTATTCTGGAGGCTGAGGCAGGAGAATCTTAAGTTCGAGGCCCGCCTGGGCAAAACTGAGACCCTGTCTCAAAAAGGTTTGGGGCTTGGTAGCAGAGCGCCCCAGGGGTCAATTCCTAGTACTGGCACACACACAACAAAAGCTAGGCCTACCTAGAAAGATGATGGAGGGCCGGGGCTTTATCTCAGTGGCGCGGCGCCTGCCACACAAGCGCAAGGTCCTGAGTTAGATCTCTGGTACCAAAAAAAAAAAAAAAAGATGATGGAATGGGGATTGTTTTAGTGATGGAATGCCCTGTTCGGCAGTGCAAAGTGTCCCCAAGAATGTGGAAATAAGAATATCCTTTGAGGAAAAACTAAAAGTAATAATTATTTTTTAAATTTTATTGGTACAGAATAGTTTCTCTCGTGTGAGAAACTGAAAGTGTAAATAAGGATCAAAATGTATGATAGATAATGTGAAATAGGAAGAAAAGGTCGAAAGGGGAAAGGAAAAAATGGAAACAAAGTCTTTATAAATAGGGAGAGGTGGAGGGGTTGAAGGGAGGACAGGGGAATGGGGAAAAAAATAAGAATCAAGATATATTATATAAAGGTACAAATTCCCAATAATGAATGTCAACATATTGTATACCTATAATGTACTAATAAAATTAATGAATTTTTAAAAATTGGTACATTTTAGATACACTTAATGATCACATTCATAATAGGGAATTTGTGTTTGTACATATCTCGATTCTTCTTTATCCCCAACCCCCTCCCCTCCCTTCAACCCCTCTTCCCCTCCTTATTTTTAAAAGCTTTGTTTCTGTTTTTTCCTTTTATTCTTTTTCTTTTCCCCTCTTTCCTTTCCCCCTCCCTTGTTCCCCTCCCCATTTGAACGTTTTCCTATTTCCCAATATCTGTTGTACATTTTGGACCTTATTTACCCTTTCAGTTTCCCGCACATATATGTCTGACTTATTTCACTGAAGAGTATGGTCTCAAGGTGTATACATTTACATAGAAATGTCTCAAGTGTAACCTTTATGGCAGAGTAGTACTCCATTGTATAAAAACCCCACATCATCTTTATCCATTCATCCGTTAATGGGCATCTGGGCTGTTTCCAAGATTTAGCTATTACAAACTGTGCTGGTTTAAACAAGGGTGTGCATATATTACTGTAGTATGATGCTTTTACTTCTTTTGGGAGGATACCAGGAAGGGGATAGCTGGGTCAAATGTAGTCCTAGTCCTAGTTTTTTGAGGTCTAGTTCTAGTTTTTTGTAGTCTAGTCCTAGTTTTTTAAGGAATCTCCACACTGATTTCCACAGCTGTTACACCAGTCTACATTCCTACCAGCAGTGGAGGAGGGTTCCTTTTTCTTCCCAGCCTCACCAGCATTTGTTATTGGTTGATCTTGATAGCAGCCATTCTTTCTGGAGTGAGATGGAATCTCAGCGTTGTTTTAATTTGCATCTCTCGGATGATGGATGATGTTGAACATTTTTTTCCTGCATTTATTTGCTGTAAAACTGCTAAACAGTGATAATGGAGATTAAAGAAACAAAATTTTGCTAGTCTTTCAAAGGCCTAACTATATCCTGACAAATAAAGAGTGTATCAGTCATTCAGGGATGGGTCTTCAACAATACCATAAAAGAGAAGGGAGGCATACTCGTCCCAGATGGAATACAAATGTCCTGGCTTAAATGTAGGATTTCTGCTCTGCCCAGGAGTTGTGATTTCCTCAGTGCCCAAACCATCAGACACTGAAATTGTATAACTTGATCATTTTGTTCTGATTATATATTCACCAAACTTGTGATAAACTGGCTCATGAGCAAGTGGATGGACACTCATCAGTATGATAGTCCATGCTCTCTCTAGATCAGTACAGGTCGTTGGTACTCAGGGTTTTTGGATGTGCCTTTGTTTCCACTTCATCTCTGTATTACCCTTTCTTATCCTTTAGGGCTCAGTTGAAATGTTACATCCTCACCAAGGCTGATTTATTGGTTTTACGAGTTCAAATACCTAGAATGGTTTCTGACACATAGTAGGCATTCAGCCAAACTACCTTTGCTCACATGTCAGCATTTTGATGAGGCCTCAGCTAACAACCCTACTGAAAATTGACTCACATATATGATTCCAATCCTCTTTCCAAGCCCTACCTTTTCTTTTTTCTTATCACCTTTATTTATTTGGCTTACTGATGAATTCCAGTTGTCAAAAACAATGCAGTCATGTAGTAGATGCAGAATTTGTCAAATTAATACCTTTATTGTATTTCATTAACACTACAAAATGCCCGGGGATATAGAGATGTTTTGAGCACTATTAAAATATGTGAATTAGATCAATTCATGAATTGGGTTAATTCTGGAACCCTAGTATGATCTTGGTTTTGGACAGTATATTGGGACTATAGCTAATTTATCAAGAAAAATACCATTTGGGTGTGTCTTGGTTAGGAATCCTTGTACACGTGATGGAATACATGTTGTATGACTGGAACAGTATGAACAGGAAAACAGTTGTGAAGGGAGGAACCCTATAATAACATCTAACATTTTGACACATTTCACATTGACCAGACATGAGTGGTTTATGCATAACACATTTAATTCAATCATTCTATGGGGTCTGAGGCAAATAAAGCAACTAGAGATTAAACTACTTACTTAAGGTTATTCAGTTAACTAACTGGCAGAGCCAGGATTAAAATTGGAGGTTTTTTGTTTTAGTTTTGGTTATTTTGTGACAGGTTCTCTCTGTGTAACTAAGGCTGGTGTTGAACTTTTGATCCTCCTGCCTCAGCCTCCCAAGTGTTGGGTTTACAGGTATGTATCACCACTCTGGACTTAAATTTAAGCTATCCTACTACATTCTGTATATGATAACAAGAGTGAGAGTTTTAACTTTAGGGAAGGATATGTCACAGGGTCTTTGAGAATCTCCACTTCTGTAGACACTTCCAATTTTAGCATTCAACACACCACCATACCTGTTTGTCACCATTTCTCCTTTGGATCACAGTAGAAGAGAATTCCTTCTGTTAAAGACTACTTCCCTATCTGAAATCTGGATCCCAGCACCACTGCTTTCTCAAGGATTCCCTTCACCAGTGTTGCTCTGTTCTCCTGACTCTCCTATGAGCATCTAAACACGCTCAGTTCTCTTGCTTCCTAAGGCCTCTCCTAACCACATTCCTTCTATTGCCACAGCTTTTGTGCCTGTGTTCCCTCTACACATCTCATTAACTGAACCTTCTTGGTGCTGTTTTCAGCTTATCTCTTTGAAGCTTCCATAATACTGTATGTTTTAAATGTCTTCATTCTGTTACCAGTTTTGGGGAGGAGAGCTCTCCTTCCTTCTCAGGGTTTTGTTGAAGGCTCTATGTCTACTCACAATATCTTTTAAACTGTCTAGTCCTCTCCCATGGCCTCAGTCACCATCTATTTAGTTCTGTCCCACTGGCTGCTGGATAACCATAAACTCAAGTTCAGTACAGTCAAAATGAGCCATATATCTTCACCCATACCACCTCTTCCTATAAGATTTGTCCTCAGAATTATCATCTCTTTCCACCTATTAGCCAGGCCAGAGATCAGGGAATAATATTAACAGAACACATATTGTGTACTTTCTGTATGCCCAGAACTACTATAAGCACTTTAGCTATATTAGCTCATTTAATCCTGATGGTATGAGATGAGTCCTGTCATTATGCATATATTACAGATAAGAGGTCTAGGGCACAGAATCCAAATGTTTTAAGATTACAGTGATACCTCGGTTCATGGCTTAACTCATTCCATGATTCTGGGGAAGATAGTCATGGTCATGTTCCTCATGATGCGGAGTTCATGAAAGGAAGCAAAATTTTGCTAAACACCTTTGTTCGGAGACTGAATTGTTCACCAACATTGGCTTTTGTGAATTGAGGTATTACTGTACATGACTTTGTTTTCTCTCTTCTCTGTCTCCATACTACCTTGTGTCTGGTAGATGGTCCATAAATATTTGTCAAATGAATACAGAATTTTATGGAACTCAGACAAACAGATCTAAGAACAAAGAGATTAACCAAAGATACAATCTGAGTGTAGAGACTTCCTAGGAAAGTGTAGCTACAGGCCTCAGGGGAGCTAGAACACTGGTAGGGTAATGCTGTCCCTTAGGAAGGAGTCCCTAAAATGTTCATTAATATTAGACCACTGTATGCCTTTGCATGTGCCAGCAGTATGCTGCTCCAAACGACCTGGAAAACCATCAAATTTCAAGATACAGTTCAAGTAACTCTGCCTCTGTTAAACCTCTCCAGATCTTTCTTAAACAGAGGGAATGTAAACTGGCTCAACTTTTCTTTAACATAGTTTATAAAATATGTCAAGAGTGATAAAAATCTGAAGACTCTTTAACCTAGGTATTACACTTCTAGGACATTACTGAACTAAATAGTTTGGCCTAGTAATGAACTTCAATAATCCACTTGAGCTGGGCATGATGGTGTATGCTTGTAATCCCAGCACTTTGGGAAGCTGAGGCAGGAGGATCAAAAGTTTTGAGGCCAACCTGAGCAAATTAGCAAGACCCTGTCAAAAGAGAAAGAGAGAGAAAGAGAAAGAGAGGTAGGTCTAGGAGGCAGTTCAGTGCAAAGACCCTGGGTTCAATCTCCAGAATTGCAAAAAAAATAAAATCCACTCTCAGCCAGGCATGGTAGTGCATATCTGTAATCTCAGCACTTTGGAGCCTGCGGCAGGAGGATCACTAAGAATTCAAAACCAGCCTGGAGTACATAGTGAGTTCAAGGCCAGCCTGAACTATATAGTGAGACCTTGTCTCAAAAATACAAAATAGAACAAAAAACAATCCACTCTATTCCTAGTTCTTTATCCTAAAGGAAAACTGGAAGTGTGCTAAGAAATAAAATTGAAATAGAATGATTTTAAAACCATAAGTAGGGCTGGGGATTTAGCTCAGTGTTTCCAGCACCTGCCTTGCAAGCCCAAGGTTCCAAGTTTGATCTCGGCTACCCCCCCCAAAAAAAACCAAAAAAACCATAAGTAGTCAAAGTACTTCATTTTTATGGATAGTATTTTCCTTTTGACACCTAAATTTCACAAACACTGCTGATATGTAGTTTGTAAAACTATCTAAACAATGAAATTATTCATAGCCTTTCCATATAAACCTACATATTCTGATTTGCTCTCCCTCTGACCTTAGGTAGTTCATCCTAATTTAATATTGACCTAAATAAAAGTTATGCTAGTAATAAATCATATATCCCAAAGTCAAATACAAATTATTTTTAAAACTTTTTAGAGATAGGGCTGGGGATTTAGCTCAGTGGCACCACGCCTGCCTCGAAAGCACAAGGTCCTGAGTTTGATCCCCAGTACCGAGAAAAAAAAAATTATAGATAATTCATAGAGACATCTCTTTTTCCACAGAGATGTTCATGAATACATTGTTGATAAAACAGAAAAACTAGAAACAGCCTAATAGAGCCTGAGACTATACAAATTGGCATATTAACAATGCACTATTACACAATCATTAAAGCTGAAGTAAAAATAGTTTTAATTTTAAATGAGCTGAGTGGGATGGCACTGCCTATACCCCAACACTTCTCAGGAGGCTGAGGCAGAAGGATGACTTGAGGCCAAGGGTTCAAGGCCAGCCTGGGCAAAACAGTGAGACCTTATCTTAAAAAGTTAGAATGAAATGCTAAAGTAACAGTACACTTACACTTTTTAGGGAAAAAGTGTGTGCTGGGTGTATAAACATGCACAGAAATAAAATGGATTATTCATACCAAAATGTTAATTATGGTTATCTCTACAGGGGTGGGATTATGGAGTCTTTTATTTTCTTTTTGCTTATCTGTTATTTTCTCAATGATTGTATATTACTTGTGAATTAAAAATAATTTGTTTGGCTTTGAGATATATTACATAATGTTATGTGAAGCATGTGTATTGTTTCAAAAAATCTATGCCCTCATTTCATATCAACTGAAATTAATGGTTTATCTTCATTTATTCCTTTGAGCACCCTTGTAGAGTTGCTAAAAACTAATGATAAAAGGCAAGAAAAGCAACCTGACTGAATTAAATAACCAGTAGCTACAAAATATAATTTCATTTTCCTTTTCTCACTGAATTAATTTGTTTGTCTTCCATTTTTAAAAGCATGCTGATCCCATTTTCAATGAAGAATTGCTTCCAGTTACTTTGTAACCACAAGGTCCCAGCAGCTGGCTTTAAAAACACAGTAAAAAGTGGGCTCATTTTACAGTCAATTTCCAATGATGTTTACCAAAATCTGGCTGTAGAAGACTGGATCCACGACCATGTGAATCTAGAAGCCAAGCCAATTCTTTTCTTTTGGAGGAATTCTCCCGCTCTTGTGATTGGGAGGCATCAGAATCCTTGGCAGGAATGTAACCTGACTCTGATGAGAGAAGGAGGTGTAAAACTGGCTCGGAGGCTGAGTGGAGGAGGAACAGTGTACCATGATATAGGCAATATCAATCTCACTTTCTTTACAACCAAAAACAAGTATGATAGAATGGAAAACCTGAAATTAGTTGTGAGAGCTCTCAATGCTGTCCAACCCCAGCTGGATGTGCAGGCTACAAAAAGATTTGACCTTTTACTTGATGGGCAGTTTAAGATCTCAGGAACAGCTTCTAAGATTGGCAGGACTGCGGCTTATCACCATTGCACTTTGTTATGTAGTACTGACAGGACTTCTTTGTCATCTTTGCTGAAGAGCCCGTACCAAGGAATCAAGAGCAATGCCACTACTAGCACACCTGCTATAGTAAAAAATCTTCTGGAAAAAGATCCCACTCTGACCTGTGAGGTACTGATAAATGCTATTGCTTCCACATATGCTGCTCATCATCAAATTGATAATCATATCAACCTAATAAACCCAACAGATGAGACATTGTTTCCTGGAATAAATAGCAAAGCCAAAGAACTACAAACTTGGGAGTGGATATATGGCAGAACTCCAAAGTTTAGTGTAAACACTACTTTTAATGTGTTATATGAGCAGGAACACTTGGAAATTAAAGTATTTCTAGACATAAAGAATGGGAGAATCGAAATCTGCAATATTGAAGCACCTGATCATTGGCTGCCACTGGAAATATATGACAAATTAAATTCAAGTTTGACTGGCAGCAAGTTTTGTCCAATTGAAACTACCATGATAACACATATGTTACTCAGAACATGTCCAGAAGACCATGAATTACATAGTAAATGGAATATTCTCTGTGAAAAAATTAAAGGAATAATGTGACTCCAAAGAACTTTCTTTGTACTGACAGTTTCAATGAGAAAATTTTTAAAATCTTAAATGCCTGTGTCTTACAAAGAAAAAAAATCTTTCAGGGCCGGGGATTTAGCTCAGTGGTTCCACCGCCTGCCTCGCAAGCACAAGGTCCTGATTTCAATCCCCGGTACCAAAAAAAAAAAGTCTTTCAGTAACATCTCCCCATCTGAAATTGTTTATCACCTGTCCTTGCCCATATTTTCTACCAACCTGTAGGATACTATTACTTTTTTCTTCATAGGTTTTAACACCTGGCACACATTTATATTTCAGCTCCTTGCTCTTTTACCGTCTTTAGATGCATACCATCTTAGACACACTAATATCAGAGGTAGGTTTTTGTTTTTCCTACTTCTAAGGAATATAATCCAGGCTTCTTACCACTTCCCTTAAACTCTAAAATTCTCCCTTTTAGCTATATTTTCTTATCCTTCCATCCTGACCTATTAAATCAAGCCCTACACTTTTCTAAGCCCTTGATACTTCCCTAATCTTTCCTAGTTTCATTTCCCTTCCTATTCCAGTGTGAATTATTTAAAGTATACTATTTCTTTTTAACAGTTGCATAACTGATTTATTACCATTATAGAAATTAAGAGAATGTATTAAAGATTCTCAGCTCTGCCTGATTATTTCCACGGTGACATTACAAAGGAGGCACAGGTTAGGGCTCCACAGTCCAGAAGAGATGAAGTTGAGTCCAGCAAATTGCATTTCTTCCCAGAGTTATGGTATTTCTTTGCAATACTCAAGTTGAAAATGAAAGCTGCAAATGGAGGGTAATTCTCCTATACAACATTCTAGTATACTTACAGTATGTTTATGAATATCTGCCTCCACAAATAAACAGGCCATAGATCAGAAAGGTGTTGATCATGATTAACTGCCAGAACTTTCAGACTATCTATCTTCACACAATTTCTGAGAGGGAGCTGGGCATGATCAATCCAATAATCTGATGCTTTTTTATACGTGAATCCCTTACGATGGTTGTGATCTACCAATCCTCCAATCACATAGGCCTTTGACTCATCTAATTCCCGCAGTACATTAGGGGAATCTGATGTAAGATATACCAGGTCTTCTTTTTTTATTAGTTCACTATAGTGCTCTGGTTTGATGTGGATATCCTTCCAGTTGACCCATCCTTTGTCATTGTCATCCATGTTCTTTTTCAGCTGGCCTCTGTGGCTCGTCAAGTAAAACTGCACAGGATGCAGTGCTCTTCGGTTTTCTGCACAGCATTGCTGAATCTGCTTATGAAGTTTAATATCCTTTAAGACCATCAAATCATCAAAACTATAGTCAATGATAAGGCGGAGTGTGCTATGGACAACTTGTCTTCGAACACGTTTTCTGTCATTTCCATCTGAGTTTGATTCCAGTTGACACTGTCGTTCTAATTTCTTTCTCTTGCATTTTTCTTTCTGCTTTTGTTTGCGGAGTTCTCATTGTTCTTCCCATTGTTTCTGTTTCCTTAGCTTCTTCATTCATCGTTTAGATACTGGCTCAATCCCTTCATTCACTCTTGGTTTCTGTTTCTCCTCTTGATCTTCACTTGTCTTGCTTTCTTTCAGCACCAGAAGTCTCATTAAAATCTGGTAACATTTCAGATGACATTGTTTGTTGTATCTGAAAACTGGTCTTAGGAATGGATGGGAAATGTACAACAAGCTCAGAAAGCCTTCCTGAAGTGGTCTTGATCCCGCTCCCGAGTCTTCCTTTGGAAACTTCAACTCTCATACTATAATTTCTTAATGGTATTCTTATCTACTTTTCTCCCTGGATCAACCATAGCCACATTTAAAAAAATTTTTTTTTGTTGGTTCTTTTTTTTTTTTTTGGTACAGGGGATCAAACTCGGGTCCTTGCGCTTGCGCAGCAGGCAGTGAAACCAATGAGCTAATCCCAGGCCCAGGTGGTTCTTTTTGAGACAGGGTGTTACTATGTATTCCAGGCTGGCCTTGAACTCATTTATTTATTTAGTCCTTTTGAGACAGGATTTTGCTTTGTTGTTCAGGCTGGCCTTGAATTCACTGTGTAGCCCAAGATGGCCTTGAACTTGCAGTGATCCTCCTACCTCAGCCTCCCTAGTATTGCAGATACAGGCATGTATCACCGTGCCCAGCTCATAGTCACTTTTTTTTTAAGGAGGAAAAAGCAGAAGATAGAAAACTGCCCCAAAGCGGGACCAAGAGGGTTCCAGAAAGATGGAATCCCCCTGATTTTCTACTATACCTAGATGGTAAGTGATATGTATATTCATGCATATTAGCCCAGTTTCATATTTATAGTTATCAACATATCTTTTTGTTGGTGTCAGATTCACCTTGTCCCTGGCTGACTTCCTGTCATTCTAAAGGTGGCTTATTCCTAGATTTCCACTCTTCTCAAACTCAGAATTCCACTACAGTTATTTTGTCACAAACTTTGATTCATAATTTGTTGAGGCCTTCAGAAGTGAGCTCCTTCAGCTCCCATGTTGTGTATTTCAACATTGCCCTTTTCATTCAGAGAAGAAATGTCCCCCTTTCCTTAAAGCTGCCTCCTCTAACTATACCCAGGATTTGTCCTCTCCTATTTGAGTTTGTGCCTTGAACCATCACATTTTTCTTTCTCTCCACTTTTACTGGGTCCTGCTCAAGATTCTTTTTTTCTTCATCTTATCTTTTCTTTCTTTTCTTCCTTTCTTTTTTTTTTCTTTTTATGAGACAGTGTCTTGCTATGTAGTTCAGGGGCTGGCCTCGAACTTGAGGCCATCCTTCCACCTCAGCCTCCCAGATGCTGGGATTACAGGCATGCATCACCATGCCCAGCCCTTCTCCATCTTTTCATTAGTAAACTTTAGAGAGTAACATCACTGTTGACCATTTCCAGTTTCTACAGTTCACTCATCCACACACTTATTTCTCCAGTATTTATTCAGTGTTTACTGAGTGTCTACTATGCCAACACCGTGCAGTGTTCATGGTGAATAAAGACAAATGGTTCTTGACCTCAGGAAAAAAAAAAGGAATTAACATTTTAGTATAGTGGCTTTCAAACTTTTAAAAAAACCAAAGTAAAACTGGACTAAAATAATTTCCTGTGCCTTAGCCAGACATTTATCTTACCTAACAAGCTTCACAATACAATGTTTATTTAGTTTTGATATTATATATTCCTTTTATTTCATCTTTTAAAAGTTGATCTTATCCATTAAGAAATCAAGACCTGAGTTTTAAAATCTCTGTCCATTTAGGAAAAGGAGATTAACAAATCAGTAAATAATCAAAAAGAAAAGCTATGAGAGAAAAGTTGAGGGAGTAGTAACCGGCAATAATAGGGGCTACCTGGCTAGAGCTCTCAGGAAGATGCTATTTAAACTGAGACCTGAAGAATAAGAAATCCACTGTGCAAAGAGGGGTGGGGTGAGAAGGACAGTATTCCAGTTGATATCAGTTACTGCTATGCAACAAACCATTCCAAAACAGAATGACTTAAAACAACAATCATTCACAAATACAAATTTGAACAAGACTTTGCCAGGGATAGCTTATTTGCTTCGACATCTTTAGTGATGACAGTTTAACCAGGGCAAGGAATACCTATTTTCAAGAGAATCTTGCTCATCTGGATGGCAGACGTGCTGGGAGGCATCTGGGAGCTCAAGTTGGGACCATGGGGTCAGAGCTTCAATTTTTTTCCACATGGACTGCCTGGATTCCCCACATCCTAGTGGCTGGGTTCCCAGAGCAAGCAACCCAAGAGAGCAGGGCAGAGGCCATTTTAAGACTGTGACAATTTATCTTGTCATCTCGATTTGCTCGAGAGATGCCTAGATTAGTAAATCCCCTTTCTGGGTATGTCTGGGTCAGTCATGGAGGGGTGATTTGGGCAACTTTATATGGTCTCTGGCTCTTCCCCTCCTCCCTGTTTCCTGGTTTCCATGAGTTGAGCAGCTTTCCTGTGCCACACCCTTCCACCATAACTTTGGTACCTTGGAGCCAGCTGACCATGGACTGAAACCTCTGCAACTGTGAGTTAAGGCAAACCTTTCCTCCTTTGTGTATGTCAAGTATTTTGTGCCAGCAATAGAAAGCTGATCCAATGACCCAGCCTTGGAAGTAACATTGGATCACTTCAGTAGTCACAAGTACGTCTAAATGCAAAGAGAAGGACCATACTCTATGAAAGGAATTTTAAACTCATTATAAAAGCTAGAATGGATTTTACTGCAGCCAGTTTTGGAAAGTACAATTTGCCACACATCCAGGAAGGCCCTAAAAGCAGGAAAGAGCTAGGCTGGTTGAAGGAATGCAGGAGCTGGGCAAGATGAAGTTGGAGAGGCAGGGACTAGATCATACAGAATCTGCTGGCCTGAAGTACAGCTTGATTTTAAGTGCAGTGAGATGACAGTTTTAATAAAGATGAGTCTCCTGCTCTGTGGAAAATGGATTAGTATGAGGCAAGGTGAGGAAAGAGCCACTTGGGAGGCTCCTACAGCAGCAGAGATGAGAGATCACATTGAGAATGGCCATGGAAAGAATCGGACAGTGTATTGGGCACTTGTTAAAAATTAAGGACACTACAACTCCTATTTTCAAGGCATGCCTCATTTACAAAGGAAACAAAAGCAATACATGTTAGCTTGCTAGGCCTTCTGTAATACTCACAGATTAGGTGGCTCCAAGTCCAAAATGAGGTGCCAGCAGGTTTGGTTTCTACTGAGTCCCTTTCCTTGGCTTGAGGACAACTACCTTTTTTCTTGTGTCCTCACATGATCTTTCTTCTGCTGGTATATCGGTGATAAAATTATTTCCTCTTACAAGAGGATCAGTCATACTGGATTAGGACCCACTTCAAAGACTTCATTTTAACTCAGTTACCTCTTTAAAGACCTCATCTCTAAATATGGTTATATTTTGAGGTACTAAGGGTTAGGACTCCCATATACGAATTTAGTGGAGGGACTAAACAGGATCTTGAGGGATCTAGAGACTTCTCTATCTGAAACAACGTTCTACAGTATTTGGACATCACCACATTGATTTCAGCCCTCCTTTTATGAATTATTTTCACGTATCTAAGTAGACCAGACCTATAGACTGAACAGGAGTGAGGACACTGGGCTTTGCTTACAACTAATTTTCTCAAAGCACAGGTGGTATAAGTAAAGAGAACTTTACTTTTTAGTTGTTCCTGGGACAAACATGACTTGCAGTTTAGTTGTTCTTTGAGGCAGGTTCAATAGGCAAGTCCTTTTGTTCTTTAGCAGCTCAAATATTAAATAGCATGTTAACAGTTTTGAAGAGATTTCTCAAATTTCTTAAACATTATTACACTTGTAACATGAAAATTATTTTCTGAGAAAGGTATAAAAATCTTGATATGGTATGCTTTAGCACCATACCAGTTTTTTCCTCAAGAAAGGATATCATCAGGTGAAGGGTGTTCCAAAAAGGAAATCAGAACAAGGAACACCTGGAACAGATGGGTTCAAGGTGTATTTTACAAGTAAATTCCACCGAACTTTTCAAACCCATGTTGGGATGAAGGAAAGAGAAGTCTAGACTTCCTATTAAGCAGTTGGATGGATGGGAGTAAGCAGAGGGAATGGAGGAGTTCAGCTGTGCGCTATATTTGAAATGCTTGTGTGCTTCTGAGATGCTGTAGGGCAGCTGAATTTTAACTCTGAGAAGTCTTAGGTAATTTGAGTTGACAGTGTATGAATAGTATTTTAGATCATGAGAATAGGCAGAGAAACTGAGAGGGGAGATCCCTCTGTAGTCTAGAGCCTCACTTTCTCAGATAGCAAAGGCATGCTGGGGATGTAGCTCAGTGGTGCAGTGCCTGCCTGGTAAGCTCAAGGCCCAGAGTTCCTGAGTTTGATTCCTGGTACCAAAAAAAAAAGAGAGATAGCAAAGGCAGTGAGGCCCACACTGGCAATGCCAGTGATAGAAGTGACCTCAAGTGTAATTTCTTAGGGAGAGTATGGGTTGAAGAGATTAAGGATTATTATTGTGCTGGGGATTAAGCAAATGTTCTACCAGTGAACCTACACATCACCAGCTCCAAGTCTAGTATTTTAAAGGATGGAATCAAAAATTGTATTTTACCAAAGTTGAGTTTTTTGTTTTGTTTTGGTGCCAGGGATCGAACTCGGGTCCTTGCGCTTGCGCAGCAGGCGGCGAAACCACTGAGCTAAATCCCCAGCCCTTCAAAGTTGAGTTTTGAGAAGAGAGTAGCCAGTGGGCCAGATGCCCCTGAAAGGTCAAGTGAGATGAAGGTTAAAAAGTGCCCACTGCATATGGTGAGTCACTACTGATTTTAACAAATTTCAGTGGAGTGACTGAGTAGAGTTGAAGTGTGAATAGGTGGTGAGGAAATGGAGAAAACTTTCAAGAAATTTGTTCCTGAAAGAGAACAAAAAATAGGGCACCATCTGCTTGGGGATGTGTGTGCTGGCAGGAATGATCAGAAGACACTGCTCTAGGACCAAGTCCTCCATGAGGCTACAAGTCGCATCAAGGTCACTGCTGAAAACTAGACCATCTTCTTTACAGAATTAGGAATATTTATCCCTTTTCTATATGTTGTAAATTTGATCATGTTTTCAAACTTTGTTTATGGTACCTATACACAAGTTTTAAATATTTATGTGATCAAATCTTTTGCTCTGCTCCTTTCCTCAACAGTTTCTGGTCTCCATGTTATTATACATTTGTTAAGAGTTTAGGGAGCCGGGGATTTAGCTCAGTGGTTCTGGCGCCTGCCTCGCAAGCGCAAGTTCCTGAGTTCAATCCCCAGTACCAAAAAAAAAAA